CGGTGTGTTTAGGCTGCTAACACACTGACAGCTACAGCAATCAAACATCACTCCCCCAGCCTGCATGTAATAACACACACATTACTGTGTCAAATGAGAGAGAACTGGGAGGAGAGTGACAGAGATAAAGAATGATAGGCAGAGAAAATGAAGGAACGGAGGAGAGAGAGAGAGAAAGAGAGAGAGAGAGAAGCAGCGCTCTCTCTGGTGTCATCTTACAGTATCATTACAGGCACATAATCCATGATCATCCTCCTCTCCGCCTGGCCTCTGTACTTACTCAGCGCGCTTTGTCACGGCACTTGACGGCACAAAGACGGGGTGTCATTTGTGTGGGCCCTCCTGACGAAGGCTCAATAATACTGAGCACAAGCAGGAGAGGAGAGAGGGAGAGAGCGACAGAGAGAGAGAGGGAGAGAGCGACAGAGAGAGAGAGAGAGAGAGAGAAAGAAAGAGAGATACAGACAGTGAACTATACAGAGAGAGGCAGACCAAATGACATATTTATGGCACAGCAGAAGCTCGGCAGACATTTGTGTAGTTCGTAACTAAACCAGCTGTGTGAATAATGAGAAATGTTACTGCAACTAAGCCCAACAACTCAACAGAATAAACAAAATACAGGTGTTAAGACAGCAAGCTTTTAATGATTATATCACTTTCCCTCTTTGCAATTACATTAACCTCAGATTTCAGCCTTTCATTAAAAGCATTTAAGCATGATCTAAAGACTGCACTTCTTCTTTAATAATATGAGGACAAAGACATCTTGCTGCTGTAAAATTCACACTGGATCGAACATTAATAATAAACAGTACTGACCACGCAAAATAAGCTCTGTACTGGAAGTAACTGCACTATTTATTATATTAATCTTCATAATTTCAATATAATCTAAAGTCAATGATTTTTTTAAAAACCATTATGGTGAAACATCCTCGTTGCTGTACAATCTTCTCCTTAACAGTTGTATCTGTCTCCACAATGAACTGAACATTATTAACAAACCAGACAAAATGAGCTCTGTACTTACACACCAAGCAGTTCATTACATTAGAAGTCTTCATAATTTCAATATAATCTAAAGTCAGCGATGCATATTTTTGACAGCTTCCTTGCTGCTGTAGAATCCTCTATTTTAACTGGGAGTAACCACACGAACTTACACATCAGTTCTCAAATTCTAGTAAAGTAGAGAAGAGAGCATAGGTCAAGGACAGTGACTCATTTTGTAACTGACATTCTATGATTACCATGTTAAACGCCTTCTCGCACTATTCACTGTCTCTTAGCGTGTGCCGCAGTGACACTGCATTATTCTTTAGCATGCAGGCAGAATGGATAGGGCATGGTGGCCATAAGGAGCAGCCAGTGTTTTGGATGTCAGGCACATGTGCAGTGAGGCAGCAGCATGCAGACTGCAGTCCAGGCTTTACGTCAGTGGCAACAGCAGCAGAGAAACTTGCAGAACAGCTCTCTGCATGCAGAATGTGGCCTGACTACTGTATCATACATCACTCTACACAGGAGCACACTTCTTCACGTTACAGACACATGCAGTGTTACATTTCCACATGCTTCCAAAACAAGATTAGGGCTATCATGACTATTCGATTAAACTTGAGTACTTAATTTATAAAATAATCCATTAAAATCTGCCCTCAAATTGAATTGCTAGTAATTGCCCTGTAGTTTGCATAATAAACTGTCCTACTGACCTTTCATACAGTAAGAAACAAGCTGATGGAAATAGCCATTTATATGCTTTTTTTGCCTAATAGTGTTTTTATTTTATTTATTTTTATCAATACTTTTTAAAGGCTTTCAAGTTTTTAGGTCTTCCTAGTTTGTTGTTTTTGTAAAAAGGTATTCTGGAATATTTGAAAGGCTAAGCATGTTTTTGTTTTTGTTTAAGTAAGTCAATTTTTGTAGTTTGCCCTTTTCTAAAACACTTATCACTTGATTAATCAGGAAAATTTACCAAATAACTAAGACAATCAACAGTTACAGCCCTAAAACAGATAAGACTTTTTGAAAGAAAATATCTTAAACAAAAAGAAGATCCAGACACCCAGGCATTTTAAAGGTTTCAGAGCTATATTATTCTTGTTTTTCAGAAGCAGCTCTGAAATTTGCTCTGTCCTAAGACAATACATTTAAACAGTAAAGGCACTACAATCTGAACTCTGGTCTTCAGCTGTGTTAAAGAGAGTTTAAATGCTGGCAGAGAGCAGAACACTTTTCAAACCGGTTTGACCAGAGGGGCCAAAGGCTTCATGCAGTGTGCGGGGGTGTGAGACGCACACTTATCACTGTGGCTCAGGGAAAATAAAACCAAACTGCTAGCAATGACAATCTCCTAATATGTATCAAGAATTTAGCTGTCATCATTTCTAGCGGTTGTTACTGCAGTGTGGTTTAACAGATTAATAGAAAGATAATGTCAATATGGCCTGTGTTAATGAGCATGTGCAGCTTAAGAAAATTAAATAAAATCCTGTCATGTATTAGAGGGCCCACATTTCTTGCATTTTATTTTTCCCCTGCGGGAGATGATGTTTGTGTGGTTTAATGGAACGAAAACTATAATAATTCTAAGTCAAAGGCTAAATAGATGGATACATGTAAATGTACTGGTTTCTGTGACATCACAGAAACAATGGGCTGTTTTTGCAGCTTAGTTTCCATATATGGATGGCATCGACTGGGGTATGAATTTAAAACTTTATTTACAGAGTACATCACACTCTTTTTGCTTCAAAACAGTGAGGAAAATTTCATTTATTTGATATGAGCCCTTTAAAAATTTTAACTCTTTAAACCTACATTTCCGTTCCTCACTCTCCTTAATTACCTAATTTACATATTAGTTTCACAGTACTTACTGAACAATTCACTGTAGTTGCTGAATAATAACCCTAAAGTTTTAGAGAGTCTGCAGACTTATCTAAATCACTCTACATGTTGGGTCTCTTTCTCTAACTATGGGTTGCTTTCTTCCTCCGCAATGTAAATACCAAAGTGTTTAATGAGAGCTTGCAGTATAATGACTTTGTATGCATTCTGAGGGTATACAAACAGCACAAAAGAGCCGCTTATACTGGCACAATGGGCTGAACAGTATGTGTAAGCGTTCACCTCGAGAATGCTCTGCATTCCAACTGACTGCACTGACCGAGTCCAGCAACTTGAGATGTGAAAGCTGCCCACAACTCCTGCATTAACTTAAATGACCTTGCTGCATGCCACTTAGGCTTGGTAATACATGGCTGGCCCATCCAACATCAGCAGGCTAGAGTTTTACTACACAGTCAGACTCCACATACAGACACACACACCCACATACATGTGATACACACACGTCCTGCCCAGCAGCTACATTCATGAGCTACATGAGGTCAAAAGGCCTCAGCCAGGGGAGATCCTTGGACGTCTGGATATACACATATATACACATTTTCTTGCATAGCATTGAATGAGGGAAAGAAAAAAAAGAGAGAAATGGAGATGAACAATTTGAATAAAGCCTGTGAGTGGAATCTACTTTAATGTGGACGTTCACTAGCAGGTCTAACTGGACCTTGATCCCTCTTGAATTTACTGTGTGTGTGAATGTGCATGAGTGAGTGAGTGAGAGAGAGAGAGCGAGAGAGAGAGAGAGAGAGAAAGCATGCGTGTAAATGTCCTTTGGACTTTGCCTCTGTCTCACCAGGGGACTTAAAAATTACTGCAGAGTGCAGTTGTAGATTTCACTGATTCTTTTTCCAAAATGATAAGACATATTGATCTATGCAAATATAAGAGTTTCATATATTCTGAATATATGTCAGAAATAATGGGAATTAAAGGAATAGTTTACTGAAAAATCACATTTGCTCTATTTTTCCTCTCACTCCAAGCATAGTTAATTGGGTAATCAGTTTGGTGTGTTAAGTTTGCTTCTTTTGTTTTGCACTGGAGCAAAATGCAGCAATGAAAGTCTATGTCTAAAGCCCAAAACCTTTATGGGTGACACAGACTTCTATCATATTAGCCCTGCAGCTCCAGTGCAAAACCAATGTAGCAAACTTTGGGCACCAGACCAAACACGTTTATGCTTGGGGTGAAGGGGAAATTTAATGTTTCGATAAATTGTGGCTTTAAATCTTTCCACGTGGGATGCCACAAATACTTCCTTGGTTATATAGCAAGCAATACCTTAGCTGTCCCTCGTCTCATTCAGTGAGAGCAAAACACTGTCAAACACCATATTTCGCCCAGGGCTTTAGCGTGCGGGCTTAATTTGATCTAAAGCTAACGGTGGTAGCACGTCACCGGCTTACCTTTCCAATAGGATGCTCAGTGTTATTTAATGACTATTAGCCCATTGACAGCTACCACTATTATCTTAACCCCAACACTGATTCCCTTTTAGTTGGCTTCTAAAAACAGTCCTCAAACATGAGGTATAATAAAGCATATAATACGAATATACTAAAAAGTAACATTTCTATAGGTTACCTATTAGTGTATCTCAGTGACCAAGCGGTAAAAACAGCCTATCTGTTAGTCTAACAGTCGGCTTAGTGAGTGACCTCGAGTCTCGTTAGCTGTTCGCTGTCGACTGTAGCAGCATTCATGCTACCAATATCGCACAGCCACATTTATTATTAACGTGTCATATGTTAAAAAGACTTCTAAAGGATATAAGCTACTGGTTCGGCATGTCGACTACCAAAAAATCTAACAGAAGTCAGTAAACAAAGTCGGCAAATCTGAGAGCGACCAATCCACAGCACATCACCGCGGCGTGAGTGAGTGGAGAAGTCTTCGGTTTCGGCTGTGCTCTCGACATGCTGCTCAACTTTACGACGGAGGAGCAGACAACAATACAGGAATACATTACTGCTGCCTTTTCCCCGACACAGACACACACGGGCCGGGTAACACCAGCGCTGCTGCTTCGTGAGCCAGCGGGCGAGTTTCACAGAGTATTTTAGCTCTCGGAGCTGGACACTCACCACGGTTAGTTGGAGCGGAGCTGTGAGCTGAAGCATCGGGAAGGATCGCTTTATTGTCGACAGCGCTACTTCCAAGCAGAGCGGCGGAGCGACGCGGTCAGAAAGTCTTCACTGAGGGAACATGATCCTGAGCGAAGAGCCCGCGGTGGATGAAACACGAAAACAGGACAGCAGGGAAAAAGACGCCAGCCAGTTGTAGTAGAGACGGAGACAGACTGAGCACAGACCACAGTTACACTCGGAAAGGTGTGACGTAGAGTGAGGCTCAGGCTGCGCCGTGCCTGGCCTCGGAAAAGTCCGCCCAGAAACACACACACACACACACACGCGCTCGCTCGCTCGCGCGCGCGCGCACACGCACGCACCAATGCACGCACGCAAGCTCAGCCCCTGCCTGTGCCCTGTGCTTCCACCCACCTCTTAGAAAACTGTCTCTCTCTCTCTCACACACACACACACGCACACACTCACATAAAGACTGCTCCTAAAAGTTTTTTTTATTATTTCTAATTAATTTACCCTGGGCTCCAATCACATTATTATATTTGAACACCATTTTCATTACATTACCTTTCATATGGTTCAAAATAATTCCTTTATTACAGTTGTTTCCCAATTATTTTCCCAGCATTTCACTGACTAAATATCATAGTAATTACTTAAATGACTTCTCCGTGCTGTGCAGCAGTCTACATGTCAATGTAGAAAAGGGTCCAGTGTCCTGCACAGTTTGGTAGTTTCTCTACTCAACCAAACCCACTAAACCTGGCAGTTAACAGATGAGTGTAATCGGGTGTATTTGAGCAGGTAAATGACCAAACTGTGCTGAAAACCATCCCTCCAGGACCAGAGTTGTACACCCATGGTCTAGAACGACCAGCAGTATAAAACCAGTATTATATCCAACCCTCCGTATGCACTGAGCTGAACAAGCTCAACTGCCACCACATGGCAAGATCCAGCACTGCATGGGTCACCGTAATGGCTCAGTGTCACATTTTTACACATGAGACGTGCTGCCTTGTTTATCATATGAAGTAATACATTTATCATCATTGTTCTGTATGGTGTATGAAGTAAGCCTAACTAAAGGCAGATTAAACTGGCTGCTTAAACAGTGTTGATTTTGTGTTCTTCTGTATTAGTCTCCTGACTCATACTGTTACAAGTCTAATTTTTGTCCACTTAGTAATAAAGAACAACCCACTAGAGCAAGGACTGCCAATAATCAACAAGGAAGTAAGAAAGAAAAGAGAAGAAGATGAAAGAAGAGAAACAACATACAAGCTATACAGTTCAGATGAACTGTGGGCTTCCAGTAGCAGGTTCTTATCACTGTCATGTGGAGATATTTTTAGTTTTCAAGTGTTGAAACATTTCTAAGTCAGAGATAAGGTGATCTTAATCAGAAGAGAGGATGAAGGGTCTAAGACATGGTAGTCGATTGTTCTTCAAAATAAACAGGGTAGAATGATGGACACTAGTATGATGTGCCGGAACATAGCAGTCATGGGTTTAAGGGCTGAGTGAGACAATGTTGTGGGACTCACAGACATGAACAGTGTGGGCAGATACAAGCAGCTGTCTAGTACTAAAGTTTTTCCATTTGCTCAGTAGACTGATGCACACAACTTGCTCCATTCTGTCCAGTTTAAATGAGATTTTGTCACTACATACTTTTATCTTCTTTTTAAAAGTATTTTAATATAGCTCATTTTTGTTAATATAAATGAGCTTAATGAATGCTCAGTGAAGATGAAGCATTTAAAACACACCCAAGGGTTATTTTCTTCTCTGAACTATTCAGAGAATATTCAGTATTTTAGAGGTCATAAAGTGAAGAAACATTTGTAGCTGATCCAAATTTTACTTTTTCCAATGTAGTAAATCTAATGCAGACTTACCCATTATTCTAGACAAACTAATGGAAATACTTGAGAAAAAACAAACAGAATATCAAGCCTCAACTATTCGCCATATATTCCAATCTTTCAATTAAGTCAAATTAAACTGTATGCATAACATGAAAGGAATATGAATAAATGAGGTACACTGTGGAAAATGAGTATTCAGACATTTTTGCTTTTGTTACTTAATATATCGCTGTTGTCGGAAGAAAACCTTGTATCTCCATTTTTGACGTTTTTCAGTTTTTGACATAATTTGAAAATACCTGTTACCCTCTACATTGTATGTAAATTTCATGATGAATGGAATAAAAGAAATGACCTAAAATTACTTGGAAAAAAGACTGGTTCCATTGACTTACATTGAAAGTAAAGTAGGTTTTTTCTTTCTCCTGTGAAGTTATGATTTTGGAGATAGGAAGTTTACTTCCGACAACAGCGATAATAAATTAAAATTGCAGTCCCTCTCATGGACTTTTTTAATCCTTCATAAATTTTCTGTAAAATTCAAGTGAGGAGACTGTCTAGGTCATGCAAGCACCTTTACCTTCTTTTTCAGAAACCAGTATTTAGTTATTTTGGCTGTATGTTTGATTTGTACTGTATGTTTGAGTTGTTGTACTGTTGAAATGTCCATCTTCTCCCCAGATTTAGTTTCTTGGCCAGAGAGATTAAATTCTTCTCTAGTATGTCTTGGTACATCACACCATTCATGTTTTCTTTAATAATGTGTAATGCCCTTTGCAAAGAAGCAGCCCCACATCATGATACTCCCACCTTCATGCTTCACTGTGGGTATGGTGTTCTTGGAATCATTGGAATCCTACTTGTAAGCCTCTTTTCTTTAAATATGATGAGCTGAATTATTGCCAAAAAATTTAATTTTTGTTTTTTTATGACCAGATTAAATTGTTCCAAAACAGTTCTGATTGTCTAAATGTTCATGTGCAAAGTGAGACACATCTCTGTCATTCTTTTTTAGCAGAGGGGTTTTGTTGTTGTAGGAATGAAAATGATCACACTACAGTTCATTGCTTATTGTTCTCTGCGCAACTGTTGTTCCTGCTGCTTTCAGGTCATCCTGCAGCTCTTTTCGAGTGACTGCTGATTTTTCTCTTACCTTCCTCACCATTAATTTGAGACCGTGTTGTGAAATCTTGCATGGTGCTCTGTACTGACAGGGACGTTTAAGGTCTTTGCTAAGGCTCTGTAGCTTTTTTCATTCAAGCTTTGTTTACTAATGTTGTCCCTGAGAGCTTTAGGAAGCTCCTACATCTTCACCATGACTAATACTTGTTGCATGAAATCTTCCAAATCTAAAGCAACATTTTTTAGTGACACCCTGTGCAATTTGTATGAAAAAATTAGTACAAGATCAAAAGACATTATGTGTGTAAATCTGAAGTGGATATATGCACAGGGCATAAAATAAATAACACGAACAAAAGTGTCTAAATACTTGTTTCCCCTCACTGTAGTGTAGGGTTTTCAAATGAACGATATGCTTATCATAGCAGGCCAAGAATATAACTGAGTTAATGGTAATATCTGGGTTATGCTAAGTAGTGGACAGTAAGGCCACTTTGTTTGCTTTTCCACTATGCCTCAACGCCACAAAGCACATTCATTTGGTAAGTCAGTGGAGGTGTATGGCTCACCTGTCTGAATTGTAGAGTTAGAATAATTCAATAGTAATACATTTTTTAGGACCTTTTAAGTGAACCAATGTAATTGTACAAAGTAATTAAAAGACAATTCGCATACCAACACAGCTGTATATCAAAATATCAGTAAAATTCAAAACAGATAAACAGTAAATAAGGCGCTAAAAGGTTAAAAATCAGGCATGTATGGAAATACTTAGGTGCATAAAGAAATTTAGAGTGTCTGAAGATCAGACAGGAACGGAGTGTATTCTGCAATTCTCATGCACGGCTCTCACCAGCAAACAAGTCAAAGCTTGCAAATCTGAGACTGATTTGCTTCTTTAAAACCACCTTCATATCCACAGACTGTCCTGTCATTAGAACCATCAAGATAATAATGGGAACAAAACAAATGCTATTGTCCATTCAAACTGTATGTTATACTGCACCATTCAACCATGCAGAATAAACACTCTGAAACTCTCACATGTTCATTCTACATGGTACATATATTGTGACTCCAGCAACACAGTGGTGTGCATATTTTTGCTGAGGTATGATGACAGTGATGTCATAGGTGACTGCCTCTCTCCTATTTTAAGTTTCTAGTGTGTTCAGATTTAGGGCCGCCAGCTTAGGAGCTAACTGGCTGCAGTGGCTCAGCAACCACGGCAAGTAAACACTGTCCGAGAGCTCTACAGAACACGGTACTGGCCTGAAAACGCCTGCAATGCGTAAGTATATCTGAAAAAACTTAGCTCCGTCCAAAAGCTGGAACTGTCAACAAGCAGGCCCTGCCAAAGGATTGTTTTGGAATGGATCTGAGCTGGTGCGAAGCTGTGTTTCTCTGCCCATCTCTGTGTGTCATGAGTGAGGAGGAGAGTGGTGAGCAGAGGGGTGGTTCTAAATAAAGATTTCAGGTCAAAAACAGGAAATGGCTCAGTGAGCAGTCGGGGCAGGAATGAGAAATGCTGGCTGTTGGGCGGCATCCACAACATCCCCTTTGTTCCCTACATGACTAGCAAGAAACCATAGCCTTTTCTATTTCTCTCTCTCTCACTCTCTCATGCTCTCTCTCTCATATTCTCTTGCGCACTACAACACTGCTTGATCACTTTTACACTACATTATTGGAGCCTCCTGCAAACTGCCTCCACACTGAATGCTGCACGACCAGTGTGGGCAGCATGAGTCACCATTAAATCATAAGCAACAGTTTGGATCCCAGAATAATCTAATTCAGACTTGCTCTGGGTGCCTATATTTAGAAAAAAAGGCTTATCTAGAAAAAATCCTGCTTTTGCCTGACATTTGTTATATCACTCTATGTGAATGAACAATCTCATTCACGACTGAGTGTGTCGTGATGCCAAAAACCTAAGTTCACAAATTTGTTTTATTCAAGATGTAAGATGAACATTTGTGTCACTTAAGGCATTGCAGAGTGACATTACCTTCCCTCCTCAAATGACGATCATTTGATTATTTGTTTTTATGTAATGACGGGATGTGGGGTCTTACATATGTCCCAAATTATCACTGTCCAAAAAATTGAGCGTAGCAGCTGTTTTTTATATTGTGCAAAATGTTTATGATGAATGAACAAATAAATATGCTCCAAAATTACTTGAAAAATTAAATCTATTCAAATTAACTTATAAGAAATTTTAGGACTGTTTTTTGTCTCTTGTAAAGTTTCTGTTTTGGAGATACTTGTTTTAGTTTTTTGCACAGAGACTACATGTTTTTCATGTTA